AATGTGGACACGATGGCTTCTTGCTAACGGGCCCAAAGACGACAACGCTGGTGTACAAGCAGGACTAGTAACAGTAAAGTACTATCTGCTATACTGTTCTGTCTTCTCTTCCTAACACGTAACTGGGGGACATAACCAGCGTTGACACAGGAACACACAAGGTTATAACAAGTTTGGAGGTTGACAGTCTGTTTTCACAGGGTAGTGTTTCCTGTGTTTTTTACTGATCGACCAATACAATGCCAACTACTGTTTACACTTTTTGCTGATGAGACTATATCCCCCCGCGTGTTGTCGAAAACCTGTGCATCCTTTATCACATAATAATTATTTCCACGGACTTAAATTTATCTGACTATCATGGAAAAAACCTTTGCCCTATAAAAATAGCAGTAACGGGGTGTTCTTATTTACCAAAGATCCGAATTTTTAAGTGCTGAGATAACCTTTCTGCGTTTAAACGGAAAGCGTTTCTACGGTTTTTTCATCATTTTATTTAAGCGTATTTAGCCTATGGACAGAGAATTTGTCGACTTACAAACCTTTCAACATGTACCTGGTTCTCCACAGTAGGAAACAAATAGTTCAGCGTTTCCGTTATGAGGCCTTTTACGCCATATTATCTGATAGTCCAAACCATTTGGTAGTTAAGTTAAGTTGGTCCCCCACGTTGGATACGTCTAGCCCCAGAATTCTGTCTTACGGGACCAATGTTATTAGTTTAGAATTTTTAAAAAAAATTATTTAATTTATTATATTTCTCTTAGTTAAAGAGCAGTTTGTTTTTCATTTTAATTAGTTTTGCTAAGTTTGGCTTAGTTTAGTTTACCATAAAGCAGTCAGTTGAGTATATTTATCGAAATTTGGCAGTATCTAACTAAACTAAAATTAAACGAATGAAGTATATAATATGCTAAAAACTAAACTAAAACAAAATTAAAAGTAATAAAACTAAAACTAACTACGGGACTTGGGGCTGGAGGTATCTAAGTTAGACGACCAACTTAACTTTTCTCACGAAATGGTAGATGCTGTGTGTGCCCGTCCGTAGTGTCGGGACATCATGACGCGATGCGCGCGTCAAGCACTGGTTAAGGTCACGGACACGTGTTCACCCCTTTCTTTGTTCTGACTGCCCAGTCTTCACTCCCCTGGCTAGCGGGTTCACCCCTGTCCTTATTTTGATTGGCCAGCATTCGGCCTATTAAATTTACCCCACACCATATATACCGCGGTGTCAGCATGACTCGTCACTGGAACTGTGCCTTCGTCCTCAGTACACGTCCTG